ATTTATAATGTTTTTATTGTATAGGTTGTGGCTAAAGTTTATTTCCTAAGCATTAGATGCATGTTTCCTTCACACTTGATTGCGAAGGTCGGGAAGAGTGGTGTGCATTAGGCCTAATGGCATATGGGCTAGGGCGCGTACGTAAGTGCATACGTCAAATATGATTGCAAAGGAGGGAGCGAATAAAGGTCTCATGAATCTAATCTTCTTTAGATTACTTTATCTCTTATTTAGCATACCCCGGACATTTGTTTCTTTACACGATGTAAAAGAGAACAAATTAAGTTTGCCCTTTATGTATCACATACGAAATGTATTTTAAGGAGATTACATCAAATGTATTGGCTCTTAGGGCACATTTCTAACATGAACCTCCAGAGCTATGGGATTTGGTGGCTGTGCAGCGGCTGCTGGCAGTTGTGAAGCTCCGGGAGGCAGTTGCATCGCATTAGCAGTCATGGGAGGCTACTGCAAGGTGCTGGCAGCTGCTGCCCATTGTGGTTGCAGCAAGGTTTCCGTGGTGGATTACGACATCGCGGTAGCAATACTCCTTGTATCAACCATGGTTTAGGGATTTGATTGGAACAAAGTGAGGAAAATGGATTTGGAGCACGCTTTGAGTATTATTTTGCAATCTCAATGAAAACATCAATTTGTGGGAGCGATTTTCGTCCCCAAAGAATTTGTCTGAAGATCCCTTCTTCCTCTTCACTTCTTGTTCTCCCTACAAAACAATATGGAGAGAAAAGACCACACCCGGGGGTGTTGGCCAAAGGCCCTCTGATGCCTAAGTTAGGTCGAATGTTTGTAGGAAAAACAATAGCTAACAAAGGATATGAAGATTTCTCTCTGGAGGAACCAGGTGGCCGGAGCCTTGTGTGTGAGAGAGAAAGGGTTTGTGAAAGGGGATTTCTGCAGAGTTTCAGACAGAAGTTTAGACGTCAGTTTAGAGTTACCTCAACTCTTGATGTAGCCATGTATTTATAGGAGCCTCCGAGGCTAAGGTTTCGGAAGAATAATTCCACAGATAAAAAAGAATTATTCTTTCTCAATTTAAAAAGATTGATTTAATTAAGGATTTGATTTAATCAAATCCATAGATACTTTGCTTCCACGCTAGTCATGACACAAATATGTCCTTTCTATTGCTTTTTATCCTGACATCAAACTTATCGTGGGCCACTAAAGGAACCATGTAAATATGGCATGCCACTTTGAACTTTCATGTGGCCGAGACAAATTTTCTCAACTTGCCCTTTTTGACCATATGGGCCCCGGTCGAGTGGGGAACCCACGCGGACGGCATCCAAATATTGGGAGTTCACATGTCACTTAACGTTGGTGATAGCCTTAACCAAGTTAGAAGCTCCAAGTGCGCAACTTCTCACCAAGTGTCAAATCAAGTCCAAAGCTCAGCCTAGGAAACTAAGTTCAGAAGTTCCAGCAGATGTTTCCAGCAGATGTTTCCAGCAGATGTTTCTAGCAGATGTTTCCAGCAGATGTTTCCAGCAGATGTTTTCCTACAAGTGGCGGAGTTCAAAGACAAGAAAGCATTAACATCGGGAGGATTTCCAAGACATCGGGTAGCTCGTGCCTAGAGCTCAGGAAAACATTAACATTAGGAAGATTTCCGAGACATCGGGTAGTTCACGCCTCGAGCTCCGGAAGGCATTAACATCAGGAGGATTTCCAAGGCAGAGTTAGTTGAATGGCCAAACCCATGAGCTGAGGAGCTCTATAAATAGAACATCAGATGAAGAAAGAAGGACCTCCGACTCAACACACAAAATCTATCTTTCTATCTTGTACTTTTCAATTCATAGTCTAGGATTTTATCTTTCAAGCTTTTCAGATTATCCAAGTTCTTCGTTTTTCTAGTGTAAGCTTACTTTCTTGCAATTTAATTTCAATTGTCTTTACATTCAAGTTTAATTCAAGCCTTTATCGCTTTAATTTATTTTATCGCATTTACATTTCTCGCACTTACATTTCTGTCATTTCTTTTATTGCCTTTACATTCATTACACTTATCACAAAAATCCCAAAAATAGTCATACAAAGCTCAATCACCCTTGACCTCAAGGAAGAAAAAGAACCTAGGCCAAGAGGAGGTTCCTTGCTTGGCCGATCAATCGTTTGATTAAAAGTCAGAAGCGCAAACACATTCACACGATCTTTCCATCCAAGCCATCAAGTGGCTTGGTGGTGGCACGCCTACGCATCTCAAGAGAAGAAGGACCAAAAACTCCTTCCATCGGCCTACCCGGCCGAAAAGAGGGAAACACCATGATTAAAAAACCTGACCCTGGACCGAATTATGCGAAGCTCATGGAAGAATACTCCTCTAAAAAAGAGGCTGAACTTCCAACTCACATTGAACTCACAGCAGAACGCAGCAAAGAATTTAGGACCAAGACTTACATGATTGAAGCAAACGAGCTGGAGAGTGATATTGCAGTTGTGAGACATGCTCATCACTTCTTTCAAATCTTCAAGGGTCTAATTGTCGATCTCATTTTCAGCTTTCAAGAACGCCAAGAGAGCCGTGATTTTTTCCACGACAGAAAGCCGGAAGAAGCTTTAAAATTAATCGTGGTCGAGCTCAACTTTTTGTATGAAGCTCTCTTCACCAAGGCTGCTGTGGTGCATTCTAAGCTAGGATACATATTCCGGGCGATTTCCATCAGTGCAATTTTCGTAGCCCTTGTTTTCTTCTATAAATTGGAGAAAGAGGGTTTACATTTATTTGATGTTGGAGTCACCTATACCTTGCTTTTTGGTGCCATAGGCCTGGATCTAATAGCTGTTTTCATGCTTATATTCTCTGATTGGACTGTTGCTGCGATAAATAAGTCTTGGCTGAAATTTTTTAAAGCCAGTAATATTTTTGAAAAGTACCTCAATTTGAAGAGATCATCGCTGTCTACAGAAACAACAAATGGCGGCCAAGAAAACAGTTCAAAAATAACCAGCTCCAAAACAATTCATGCGTATATTGCCTTCTGACAAAACCGTTAGGAATAGAACATTCCTCTTACATCATTCAAATCTTAGCCATTCATTCACTACCCTATGAGATAGAGACACGTGGCATACACTATTATATCCTAGCTGCACAGTTGGACTGTTATCCAACGGCTACATTTTCAAACTAGAATAATAAACCTATCTCAGCAGCTGCACTTACAAACTAACACTCCCTTCTAAGTGTTGTGCTGAGATAACACCTAAAGCCTTCCTTAGATACTCAAACTTTCAAAAATAACAAAGTGTTTGATGTGGACTAAGAAAATCCTATTTTGGAGGTGGTATGGATCTGTCTCCATGTTCAACTTGATAGACTTTTCCCTCAAGGAACGTGAAAAAGTCTCCCCAACAATTTTTGACGGATGTGGCAGTTTCTACATCAAATTCCTTGAATATTTTGGCCTCAAGGATCGCCGCGATAAGATCAAATATAGGTCCAGCAAGCCACTCACTGCAGAGTTATGGAATTTCATCTTTGAAGAGTTAAAGGGAAAGTCCTTGCTTGCAGATGATCCTGAAACTGCCAAGAAAATAGGTTCAGCCCGAGGTGACTGGGTTCTCGAGGACAGGGTTGTGCAGGATAGTAATTTGGTTGTCCAGGATGGTGATAAGGATAAACATAAGGTGATCAGTAAGTTGCTATCTTATGTTGTTGATGTTGAGTATGACCAGAGCATTCTATTGTGGCACATTGCTACTGACTTGTGTTATGAGACGAACAATGTTGTTGGTGATGATAGTCACCGTGATGATAGTCATCACCGTGGATTTAGTAAGACTCTGTCTGATTATATGCTGTATCTCTTAGTGATGCAGCCTACTATGATGTCTTCTGTAGCAGGAATTGGACAAACAAGATTCCGCGACACTTGCGCAGAAGCAAAGAAATTCTTTAGCAGAAGTGAACTGGAATCAGGGGTGGAAGAAAAAGTAGAGGTCTGTAAAGGGCTCCTTGACGTAAATACAGACGTTCAACCTATTGATGTCAAAGGGGACAGGAGCAAGTCCGTATTGTTTGACGCATGTATTCTGGCCAAAGAGTTGGCCAAAATGGAGGAAAATAAATGGGAACTCATCAGTAAAGTGTGGGTGGAATTGCTCTCGTATAGTGCAAGTCATTGTAGAGCAAATAACCATGCTCAATTGCTGGGTAAAGGTGGAGAGCTTGTCACTTTTGTTTGGTTATTGATGGCTCATTTTGGCATCGGGGAGCAGTTCCAAATAAACGAAGGCCATGCAAGAGCAAAACTCATTGTGGAAAAGTAAATGGATGTGTGGAATTAAGAAATGGTGGATTCGAAATAATCTTACCATTTAGTCCTTTTATCATGGTGGACTCTTGTTTGGACATTTTCTTGCAGTGTACTCGTTCTCATTTTCTTTTCTTTTTTCCCTTCACTAGTAATGTGTTGTGTCAGTTTGTAATATTTAAGCGTATGGACAACCTCAGAAGCCAACTAGAGGTGGAGAACTTATGGACTAAATCTTTATCTCTCTGCTTCGTCACAGTTAAAGAGCAAAAATTTCATCGTGTGCTTGGGATTCTTCATTAGGGGTACAACTTCAGGTACCGAATAGAAATTAACCCTTACATTAAAAAAACAAAAACAAAGTAGCAGAGTGAACGACACAGTAGCAGCACCGCTTTTAAGAGAATAAAAATCACAAAGAGCAAGGGACCTGTTACATGAACATATAAACAGCCACCTCAATACTAAAAAGCAAACAAACAAAATCAAAAAAGAGAAACAGGAAAGCTGAGGAGCTAATACCCTAAACATAAGGGTAATTGCCAAGAGAATGAGTGCAAATCCTGCAGTATTAGACCCTTCAAATCTGCAACTTGTATGCTAAACCCTTCAACTGCTTCTAAAGAGCCTTGAATTCAAATTTATTCAGAATCTCATATTTTCCACGTATTCTATGTCTTTGGGTAAGGATCTTCATCTATATAAACACTTCATTCAATGGTCGTGTTCGTGTTTTTAAGTTCCTCAAGTTCTTGAGACGCAAGACAATTAACTGAAAGATAAACACAAAAAGGATTAAAAGCACAAGTTTAACTCAAAAACATAACCAAATCATAAGCTAGAAGGGTACAAAATGATATACAATTATGAACCGATCAGATGCCTTGAAGATCCAACTTTTCTAAGTCAGGTGGAAACGAGAATTCCATGCACTCCTCAATTTTGCCCTTAAAATTCTTAGAAACCATTCCCCAGGATATTTTGAGGCGCGAAGAGATTTAATGTCCTTCAAATTTTTGAATTCCTTTTCTTCAACTACAGCTTCATTCCCGATGTGTATACTGAGCCACTTGAGATTTTTTAACTTGGCTAGTTCACCAGGTCTGAAAGGAGTATTTTTCTTGGAGCCTATGAGAAAACCTTTCAGTACTGTCTTTAAGCTCTTCATCAATTCATCCAAATTAGGCCTTAACATGCTTGAATTGCATGAATTATGTTCTCCAAAGCCATCATTGTTACCTAAAGCTCAATTAACTGAAAGATAAACACAAAAAGGATTAAAAGCACAAGTTTAACTCAAAAACATAACCAAATCATAAGCTAGAAGGGTACAAAATGATATACAATTATGAACCGATCAGATGCCTTGAAGATCCAACTTTTCTAAGTCAGGTGGAAACGAGAATTCCATGCACTCCTCAATTTTGTCCTTTAATTTCTTAGAAACCACTCCCCAGGATATTTTGAGGCGGCGAAGAGATAAAATGTTCTTAAAATTTTTGAATTCCTTTTCTTCAACTACAGCTTCATTCCCAATGTGTATACTGAGCCGCTTGAGATTTGTTAACTTGGCAAGTTCACCAGGTCTGCAAGGAGTATTTTTCTTGGAGCCAATGAGAAAACCTTTCAGTACTTGGAGAGAAGAGAGTTTCTCAAGCCCTTTTGGCATGCCTTCTAGCAAGTAGCACTCCGATAAATCTAAATGTGTGAGGTTCTTTAATGATGAAATATCCGGAGGCAACTTCTCTAAGTTGTGACATGCTCTGAGATCCAGAATTTCAAGGCTTGTAAGACGAAAGATAGAAGAAGGGAGTTCAGTAATTCTTGATATTCCTCGGAAGCTAAGATACTTCAAGTGCTTCTGAGCCCTCAAACCTTTCAGTGACCCTTCGTCTTCCAGTTCAATGTGATATTTAGTGGAGTTCTGCCACTGTCCTAGCTGAAGAACTGCAACCTTGTTCAACTTACTAAGCCATTCTTTCTTTAAATTAAGATATAGAACATTTACATTGAATACAGTCAATAGATCATCCACTTTCAGGCCAGCATCACCCTGAGTATCTGTGGGATCAAAAACTAAGCATGCACGCCTACAAGTTGACATACCTCGTGAACCAAAGTTGAAGAGCCCAGCCTTGCTTGCCAAGGAGATCAACATGCGACGAATCCAAGGGTGTATTGTACAATCTATCACAACTGCCCTTGATGATGCGTTTGAGTATGTTCCATTAATGAAGCCCCTTGTGATAAGTTTCTCAAAGATTTCTTCTCCTACCTCTTCTGCTGTCTTCTCTGGAGTGCTTTTTATGAAGCCCTCACCAATCCACCAGTAAATTAGAGGCCTCTTCTTTATCTTAGAACCATCAGGGAAGATTGAGAAAGAGAGGAAGCACATCTTCAATTCCAAGTTCTCAAGATCATCATAAGTCCTCCTTATTTTAGCTATGGCATTACTCTCATCAATCCTATTCTCCAGGTCAAGTTGTGACCAGTCTTCGGACATTTTCTGAGCTAAACCTGATTGATCAGGCTTAAACCGATGGAAGTGTGACTCTGAAATGCGTTCAGGGGAGGGCATACACTCCTTTAGAAGGGATAAGTCATCGATTATTTTCTGGACATCTTTATCAATGAGATCTAATGCCTCTTTGGTTGCGTTGATATCGGGGTTAGGGGTCTCATCTGGCAAGATAATCTTTCCAAGGCGGCGTTCTACGGCAGTGAACTGCTTCAAAACAGTTTGATCGAAGAGCTTGACCCTGGCTAGAAAATCCTCTTTTTTCACCCTTTGGAGATTCGTTTCAATATTTCGAACAGCTTCACCCTCTGTGGTGGTGAGGTCCTTGGCTTTGCTCAGAAGATCCAGCAACTTGGCCATGAATTTCTCTGGATTTATTGAGGCTGCCATTTTGCAATGACTGAAAAGGTGTTGCCGTTGCACTGAAATTTCTCTGCGCAGCTTGGAAGTTGGAGAGATGATGAAACCAATATGCTTTTCCCTCTAGATCATCAGCTCCCTTCTTTTTAGTTGCAAAACAAAATTATGCAAAATAACCATATTAAACGAATATATGATATGCATTACGAACCAGGAAACAGGATGGTATAGACACAGCAATTGGTGATATTATTAAATTAAATCAAATAAATTAAGTAAACCATTCAGTTTTTTGTTTTCTTTTTGCTTTTTTCTTTGTTTGAACGGGAAGCTGAAATTCATTCAGTTTTTCGACAAGCCAATGAACTATATATTAACTCACCCAAATTCTGCAGGATTATTTGACCTAGTTGAGTTAATTGTTTAGTTGACAGCAGAACCAAAGTAAACAGGAAGTATAAAGATCAAACCTCAACTTTATATTCCTCTTCTCCAGCTTTCCTGCTTGATTGATCAACTTAATTGCAACTTTCATCCCATCATGGAGTATGGAATTTCTTGCATAAGTGAGTTTTGATTAAAATTTGATTTAAATTGGGTTAATAAGGATATGGGATCACTAAGGGTTAATATTTTACATTATTTATTACTATTATTATGATTATTAAAGTATATGACTGAGTGATATTGGATTATTTAAATGTAGTTGAGAACTGATTTTTGGAAAGTTGATAAAAGATTTGGAAAATGGATTTGTGGAATAAGGGAAAGTTTATGATAAGTTTCGGAATATGGTTTTCAAACCCACCACAGGAGTACCCCCTAGTTTCTTTTGAAAAAGTTTTGTCATTTATGACAATGCCCCATGAGTTTCGGGGATGCTTGAACCATGTGGTGCGAAGATATGCGTTCTCGGGCTAACTACATGTCCCCCGAGTTCTGCAAGGATGTGCATTCTCGGGCTGACTATGTGTCCCTTGAGTTCTGCAAGGAATGCGGCTCGGGTTGACTTTGTGTTTACGAGGCTTGTGAGGATGTGTCGCTTAAATGACACTTGGAATTGACGGAATATTAGTGGAATTAACGGATCATGAATGGGGGTACGCCTAGGTGGAGAGTATTTGAGTTTTGAGGGAAACATATAATTCACAATTATTTTCTTAAGTGATGAATTTGTTTTTACATGTGAAAGAGGGAAACATATTTTATTTAAATTGTGGATATTGACATTAAGGTTTCACGTGGTCAATGCTATCTAATAATTTTCTCGTTTTCCTACTTATAAATAATAAGTTAATTATATAATTATATATATATATATATATATATTTATTTATGCACATGTGGGATGAGTAGAAGATTGTTCTAACCTCAATAGCTCTTGATTGAGTTTCAGTGGATTGATCTGAATTATTTATGAAGGTTTCGCGATTTTATTTGATTAAGTTACCTTTGTGTTACAATTTATGTAGAAAGAACTACATATGGCTTGGTTCCTTAGTAAGGGTATGTAGGCAACCTAGAGTTACTAAGTGCAGCCACAAGATCAAGTGCTGAAAATTTGTTCAATTAAGTTATATTAAAACTTGATAACGTATTCATGTTGCTCTAAGAGTTGAGACCAGATTTCGATGGCAAAATTATTTATTTGGTATAAAGAGGCCTGAGACCATTCAAAGTTATTGGTCTGATGCATGCTAAATGTTTGAGATTTGATTTTCAATATTAATTGTATATTTACAGGTGGAAAGTTGTTGAGGAGTGTCCGTTTTACAGGGGAGATTCTGCCGATTTTTCGGCAGAAGTCAAACCTTAAAAGAATTGTTGAGTCTTAGTTAGAAGGGAAATTTGGTCAAGTGTGCCTGGCACCTGCTAGGTGCCGGAGGCCCAAAGGGTGCGGCGCAGATTCCAAAGTGGAATTTGGGTCAGATCCTGTCATCCCATGATTTTCTAGATGTTGGCCCAGATCTCTTCCACACCTCCTCTCCTACTACTCTTCAACCATTACACCTCTCTCACCCTTTTTTCCTCTCATCCACTCACCCCCTATCAGCCCATTTCTCTCCCATTCCAACGAAATTTCAGACCTTAAAATCCTTCTCTTTCCCTAGGATTTTGTTGGCTTTCTACTGGTTTGCTACGACAGCTTTTCCCCTACAACCCATCCTCAAATCTTAGATTTTGATATGGAGATGTGAGCTCTGTAGTTTAGTAGTCAATTTTGACCAATATCTGGATCGTTTGAGCTTGATGCATGTTGGTGGCTTACTCCCCCAAACTCACGCTCTACATATTCCCTTTGTTGATTCCCATAAACCTTCTCTTTCTTGCGGTGGTGGTGGCAGCTGCTTGATGTTCCTAGGGTTTGATTATAGGGTTTTGTGTTTTGGGCCTAAATTATTTGTATTATGGATTGGGCTTTTATTCTATTTGGTTGAGCTAGGAGTGCAAGTTGGATTGAAAATTCTAATTCGAAATTTCTGATTTTGTTGATTCAAAATCAATTTTGATATCTGAAATCTGAAAATGTCGAAAGAAAAAAAAAGAAAAAGAAAAAAGGATTGGAATTGGGATGTATTTCAAGATTCTGAAAATTTTGAATTCCGAAATATATTGAGGGTTCAAGCTTAGATTACACATAATGACTAGTTCCACGTTAAATTTGATATGACTTAATGACCAAATAGACATAGACGAGCTATTTCATAAATAATAACAACATATAACATTTTTTTGAGCTTTTTCCGTGTGATTTTTCAGGTTTGAGCCAAATTTAACCTTTCAAATTGTTAGACATGTTTAAAATTTTAAATGATTTTCTGAAACTTGCCAAAAAGATTCCGAAATATGTAAGTTCTGAAATTTTCCAATAATTCTGAAAATTTCGAATTGTAATGGATGTTAAAATTTCGAATTTTTTTAGAACAAAATTGGAAAAAAAAATTTATTCCAATTTTTTTTTGGAATGGAATTGGAATCCCCTTATTCCAATCCAACCCGTCTGAAAATTACCCTAAGTTAGAGTCGTCAATGGTTCGGGCCGGGCATAAATGGCTTGGGCCGAGTCAGGCTAGGCTTTAACTACGAAAGAGAAAATAATGAGCCGAACTGGATCGGGTTTTTATAGAAAATTCGAAGCCGAAGTCACCCCATGGGCTGAACTTTTTAAAGCCCATCAGGCCGGATCGAGCTTGGCCTAGTGGGCTGAGCCAAATGGGCTTACTATGTTTTATTTTTTTTTCCTCTCTTGTGTTCTCTCTTTTTGCTATGTTTTTATCTTCTTTCATATACTACAATAGTAATCAAAGCTTATCAACCAAAACATGGGGAAGCTTTCTCAACGGGAATATGCTAAAAACAATAAACAAGTGCTGAAAAAAGTAAAAACAATGCTAAAACAATTAAAAAAGCAATAAAAAGCTAAACCAACCACCGAAAGTTACAACTACTATGTTTAATTTATTAATTTATTATATCCCATAATTATTTCTTTAATACCAAAAGGTTACAACTATTTTTTTTAATACCCATCTGCCAGGGACTTAATACCCAAAAATAGTTTTTTAATGTCTACCTTAGACTACCCGTATACAATCAAAACAAATTCAAATGGTCTTATGGGCCGGGCTGAGCCTTCGTAGGCTCAAACCCAAACCCAAACTCATACCTAAGCCTAAGTCCAGCCCAGTAACTAATAGGCCAGGTCGGTCCAGGGGCCTATAAAGGGCCAGATCGAGCTTTTTTCGATGGGCCGGACGGGCCCCTATTGGCCCATGAATCTGTGGGCCAAATGATGACATGAGCCCTTGTTTTTATTTTTTGTGGCTTTTGTATTGGGCTTTTATGTAAGAGTAATGCTACACTTACCATATTTTTATCCCACATTTCTATACAACATGATGTGATATGTCCATATTATATGTCACTTCAATTAAATCAACGAAATATATTTTAATTAAGAAAATTAGAAAAATAAATACTAGAATAAATCAAAAAGAAAAAATAAGTACAATAATTTTATTTGATTTGGTTGTCCAATTCAACTGTAACAACCCGGTCCAAAATTAATAGTTAATTATTAAATTATTCAGGAAAAAGACAATTTTACCCCGGGAGTGATTAAATAATTAAAATAAGAGGAATTAAGTTTAATTGAGAAAATAAATTGAAATAAGAAATAGAATAAAATGATTTGAATTAATTAATGTTTTTGGAAATTAAAATAGTAATTAATATAAAAGGGGCAAAAAGGTCATTTTTAGTTTGGGAAGGAATTTGGAAAGTTTGATTGGACCGTTGCGTAGAGCACATCGAGATGAGTCCGTAGACTAGTAGTTGGCTCAAAACGGAGTTGTAACGAAGAAATTACGATTAAAAGAAGTTCAGTGGCACAATTGTAAATATTTCGAAGTTCAGATTATTTTAAAAACCCAGATTCTGCTGTTTCGAGGGGGGAAGGACCAGCCATTTTCAAACTGCGAGTTCTCCTCCGTCCAGCCAAGAAATTGAGTGCCACAACTTGAAATCTCCTCGTCTCTCTCTCCTCTTTCCATACATGTCAATATCCAACCTTGATTCCAAGTGAATCCACCAGAAAATCGAGCCAAAGTCGAGCCAAAAACGAGCCCAAACTGCTGTGCGAAAATCAGCGGCGTTCTTGGTCTTTTCCGGCAGCTTCCGGCCACCATCTCCTGCAAGTGAGGTATGGTTTCTCATCTAATTTTCGAGTTCTAGCTGATGGTTGGGTAGGATTGGATTAATTTCTAACATAGATAACCCAAAGCACGAACTGAAATTTGGCCAGATTTCGGGTTGAGATTCCGGCCACTTCCGTCCATTTTTCGGGGTAGGTCTAAGAACAAAAGTGACTCCAAATGAGGTTTTACCCTTAGGGTAGGAATCTTGGACCTTGATTTTGAGATTTTCCGGCGAGTGGTATCGCCTTGGGAACCCACGCGCTGCCGGCGCGTGGGCTAGGTTTTGGACCGGTTTAGTGCTCCAGAATGATTCCCTGGTCCTGACGAGTGCGTAGGTACTTTCGGATTTCATTTCGGACAACGTTTGAACCCCGAACGGATCTCGCCTATTGTGCGATTTCTGGGTTCGATACGTTTGAACCGTTGGATCTAGGCATTCCTAGGATCGTATAGGCTTTCGCAGATCGTGAATCGTAGTCCCGGATACTCCGATTCAATAATTTAAAGATTAACCTAATTAATGTCTGATCGCACGATCGTGAGTAATCCGGCCGTCCGATCGAGACCAAACTCTCGGGACAAGTGTCCTAGGTTTGTTAGAACTTTTAGGGACTCCCGGATTTTTTGTGATAGGAGGTCGTGGGCCCGGCAGGCCCGGTTGACCAAGTTTAGGCGTTTTGACCCCTCGGTTGACCGTGAGTCTTTTGAGGTAGTTATATCCTTTGAGATGGGTTAGAAGGACCATGTAAACGAGTCCTGACCAGGAATGAGTGATCTGAATCAATTTACCAGGAAATTGATATAAGGCCAGGAATTAAATTGTAAAATAAAGGAAAGTATTGATATAAGTTTGGGATACGATTTTTCAAACCCATCACAAGGGTACCCCTTAGTTACTTGAAACAGCATCATTCATAAATAATGCCCCACGAGTTTCGGGGACGCCTGAACAGTGTGGAGCGAGCATTGCGGCTCAGATTGAAGAGTTATCTCTGAGACCTGCGAGTATTGTGGCTCAGATTGAAGTGTTATCTCTGAGACCTGCGAGTAAGGTGGCTCAGATTGAAGTGGTATCTCCGAGACCTGCGAGCATTGCGGCTCAGATTGAAGAGTTATCTCTGAGACCTACGAGTATTGCGGCTCAGATTGAAGTGTCATCTCTGAGACCTGCGAGTAAGGCGGCTCGGATTGAAGTGGTATCTCCTAGACCTGCGAGCATTGCGGCTCAGATTGAAGAGTTATCTCTGAGACCTGCGAGTATTGCGACTCGGATAGAAGTGATATCTCCGAGACCTGCGAGCATTGCGGCTAAGAGTGAAGAGTTATCTCTGAGACCTGCGAGTATTGCGACTCGGATAGAAGTGATATCTCCGAGACCTGCGAGCATTGCGGCTAAGAGTGAAGAGTTATCTCTGAGACCTGCGAGTATTGCGACTCGGATAGAAGTGATATCTCCGAGACCTGCGAGCATTGCGGCTAAGAGTGAAGAGTTATCTCTGAGACCTGCGAGTATTGCGACTCGGATAGAAGTGATATCTCCGAGACCTGCGAGCATTGCGGCTAAGAGTGAAGAGTTATCTCTGAGACCTGCGAGTATTGCGACTCGGATAGAAGTGATATCTCCGAGACCTGCGAGCATTGCGGCTGGATATATATACCTAATTAATTAATTATGAAACTTACATGAGTTCGATACAAGGGTATTTGGAGCTTGTTTATTTTATTTTATTTTAATATGTTTTGCTTTAATTTATCTTATTTTATTTTATTTAAGTTGTTTGCCTCGATCTTTTTAGTGTTGGATAGGGTATTAAATAGCTCAAGTATTTCTAGCATACTTTGCCCCACGAGTTTTAGAGATATCCGAACCGTGGGAGCGATGATTGCGGACCAGGTTGACCAGATGTCTCCTGAGTCCAGCGAGGATTACAGGGCAGGGCGTGTCAACCAATGGTGCCACGTAGAATTAATTGTTATGACTTCCAAGAATGATTACTTGAATCTAAATGCTTTTATTCCTTCATTTGAATATAGTTATTGCCATGTGAGTAATGTCAGTAAGCTTGGAGGAACAGAAAGCTGAAATGAAATAGAAGAGCTACGTGTGGCTTGATCCCTCAGTAAGGGTACGTAGGCAGCCTTTTGTTACAAGGTGCAGCCACGAGTTGGAGTCTTTGAGATTGTTAATGTATTATTGGCATTCTGAGAGCTGAGATAAATTTTATTAGCTAAATGATTTATTTGATTTATAGAGGCCTGAGGCCAGATTAATATGATGCTTGATTTCTGGATTTAATTCGATACATGCTGGCAGTTGAGTTATATTCGTAAATGCTTGTTGACAGGTGTAAGTTTTTGGGGAAATGTTCATTTTATAGGGGAGACTCCGCCGAATTTTCGGTAGAAGTCGAGCTTGAATTTCCTTGGATTTGGTTTAGAAGGGCAATTTAGTCAATTGTGTCTGGCACCTGCCAGGTGTCGGACACGCACAGGGTTCGACTCGGATTCCAAAGTGGAGTTTGGGTCGGGTCCTGTCATCAACTGTCACATAAGGTGATATGAAAATGTGATATATAAATGTATTAATAGTAGCATTATTCTTTATATAATCTTATAGTAATGACATGTTGATTCGTTTGGAAAAAAACAAGAAGTCCGAGAAGTAAATAGTTGTATTTTGAAGGACAAATCGAACTCGGTTGAGTGTTCCGCTCTAGCCAACTCATTTGACTTGGAGATGTCCTGACGGAGAGAAAATGTGTCAAACAAAAGGGTAGGGTATGGTGGATTCGGACTCGGATCAAGTCTAGTGTCATGGCACCTACTAGTTACTCGATCAATTGCCCAAACCAAAGGCGACTTTTCTTCTACTCACAAAATTGATTGATTCACAAAATTTGGGTTGTGATCGACAAGGAATGGCATTGGATGTTGCTGAATTTCTCTGGACCAAGTTCTTGAGCTCCCTTGACGCAGATTCCGAATTATCAGGTTCGACTTTCTTCTCTTATTTCAGAGCAATAATAAATGTCGTCAAAAAGACACAAGTACTGCCGGAACCGTACACCTACTGTGACAGTATTCGTATGCTCTACGAGCTCAACGACGCATTGGCCGAGTGCCAAATCTTCATACGGGATTGCAAGAAGCGTAATAAGAAGCTCTTACTCTTCAACCCTTTAACCCATGTTTTCGCTCACAGGATGAAGAGTCGGCTGACCAGAATAAAAGAGGATCTTATGAATTTGGCGGTCCAAAGAGAACGGGATCGTGAGAATTTGGCGGCCGCACGAGAAGAAATTAGGCAGCCCCCGGATTTGATCACCGTGGAAGGACCAATACTTTCGTCGGAAGTTTTTGGATTTGATGAGTATGTGGAGAAAATTGAGGGTTTGCTCATTGAAGGGGGCTCTAGCCATACCCCATTTATGGGAATTGGGGTAGTTGGGATTGCTGGCGTGGGTAAGACCACTCTGGTGCGAAAGGTTTTGAAGAGCAAGAAAGTGAGGGGTGAGTTTAACCCTATAATATGGTTACCCTTTTCGGGTATGTGGGAAGAAGGAGGAGGTTTAAGTGCGTTCAGCTTTGAGGCATGGATTCTTGATAATTTGGGCAATGCTGTAGACAAGAAGATTGTAGGCATTGGTATGCTCTTAGAAATGCTTAACCAAAATTTATCCGGCTGGACAGGCTGGAGAAGCTCAGTTCTACCCCTAGCAAGGCCAAATTCAAAGCTGTAGATGAGGCAATGGAGAGGGTGAAGATTTGGCAGTCTACTGAGCTGGAGCTGGATGAAAACAGGGGAGCTGTTGATCAACTGATGAGGGACCTGGACCTCCTGCATAGGCAGAACATGGCTCCTAAGCCCATTCTTGAGATAAGTCTTAGCCTGGCCAGAGACGTTCTCAACCTTCATGATCGCTATGAGGATCTCAAGCCCACCTTCAAGACTTCTGAGATTTGCAAGGCTACTCATGATGCCAACTTGGCTGACTATGCAAAACAAAAGGCAGAACTGGACCAGATGGTTGCAGGGTACAAAGAAGCCAAGGCTACTGCAGACAAGTTGGAGAAGCAGATTGAAGAGCTCCAAAAACAGCTGGCAGAACGCAAGGAGGTGCAGCGCAGGCTGGGTGCTGGACTGAGTTCTAAGACGAAGGCCACTTTCCTTGTGCAAAGCATGGTTTCAGCTTTCAGGCCAGCCTTGGAAGTTGCAGAGGCTTCAATTCATCAAGGGGTGCTGCTTCAGAAGGATCTCTCCATCAAGAAGTCTAGTATGCAGGAGACCCTCAAAAAACTAGGATTTTAAAATTTAAATTCAGAATTGTGATGAACTGCTTAGTCACCGAGGTGACTTTTTAAATAAAAGTTTATTTATTTTTTTGGAATTTTCTTGATAAACTAAAAGAAATTTTAGAAGATTACATTAACACAGAACTAAAGAACCAACAAAATCAAGCAACAGTTTCAAGTTGTTGTCTTTCTATCCCGGGATCTGTCTGTACAGCTTGTGAATCCCACATAGTTGGATAGAATTTCTTTAACCACTTGCCATTGATTGGTGCAGCATGAACTTCTCCATCTCGATCCTGTAATCTGTATGCCCCTAATCCGGGGATTTGGTTAATTATGAAAGGGCCTTCCCAAGTTGGTGACCACTTTCCATAACCAGCTATGTGTGTTCCAAGGGGCTGAACTGCTTTCCAGACTATCTCTCCTTCTTCAAAACTCTTGTTTTTAACTCTCTTGTTTTAGGCTCTTGACACAGCCTGTTTTCCTGCTAAGAGTTTGTTGAGGGTGTCAATCCTACTTGCATCCAATCCTTCCAGTTCTAGCAGCATGGCTTGAGTGTAATCTTCCCCAATCAGTTCGTGTTGATGGGCAATTCTGAGGGATTGGACTGCTATCTCCATAGGCAGAATTGCATCATGACCATAAGTTAAAGCATATGGAGTCATGCCAGTTGCCTCTCTTTTTGAAGTTCTGTATGCCCATAAAGTCTCTGATAACTTCTCATGCCATTGCTTTGGATTTTTCTCAAGCATTTTCCTGATAATATTGATTATCACCTTGTTACTCGATTCTGCCTGCCCATTAGCTTGAGCATAATAAGGAGTGGATTGGAGTAGCTTAAATTTGAATGCTTCTGCCATGTCTAGCATATCTCCAGATATGAAAGAAGATCCCCTATCTGTAGTGATTGATTCTGGAATGCCAACTCTCTGTATGATCTGTTCTTCTATGAAAGTGATGATTTCTTGAGACGTGGTAGATTTAACAGGCTTGGTTTCCACCCATTTGGTAAAGTAATCCGTAGCTACAATGATGAAACAGTGCTGTTGACTACTGGCCGGATAAATCTTGCCAATGAGATCCATTGCCCATCCTCTGAATGGCCATGGCTTGACTACTGGATTCATGGGAACTGAAGGAACCTGCTGGATTGGACCATGCCTTTGACAGGCTTCACATCCCTTGGAATAATCAATGCAATCTTTCATCATGGTTGGCCAGAAATAGCCATACCTTCTAATTAACAAACACATTTTTCTTCCACCTTGATGTGCTTCACATATTCCTTCATGGGTTTCTCCCATGATCTTCATGTATTCTTTCTTTCCCAGGCACCTTAGCAATATCTCATCCTTGCTTTTTCGGACCAAGTCTTCATTCCACATAAGATAGTTTGAAGCCATGATTCTGACTCTCTTTCAGAAGGCAGAATTGGATACTGCAAGTAGTTTATGATGGGAGTTCTCCAATCATCTTCTGTAACGTCTGCTTTCAGTACTGCCATAAGCTGATTGTCTAGCATCGCTTTCTTCTGATTCTGGTCCTTCACGTTCCATTATGCGACGTGGATTCTGGCTAGAACCTCCAACATACATATACTTTAAAATATTTAAGAGTATATGTACTGAGAAGTCCCACTGGGCGTGCCGAATTGTTCACCCGTTTTGATTTGTTTCTTGTGATGGTAGGGCAAAGTTCCCCATTAATCCAAAAACCATGGTTGGTCAATAGATTAACTTTCTTTGTGTGTCGAGCGTGCCACTGCTAGCGATAAAAATCCTAGCAGACTTCTTTAAAAATAAATAACTTGCACCCCAAGTCACTAATTTTTGAACAAGCGATTGTGAATTTGGGTGAGGAATATCTCCCAAGTAAGTTCTTTTCTATGCCTTAGACTGGTAAGGACTTCATAATTTTTCTCAGTATAAAACTAGTAGTTCTGGCCAGAATAAATGATAACAGAGTGAATCGTTTTCAGGTAGAACTCCTCTTTACAAAGCTCAAAAAGGGAAAACTGACTATAACAGGAAAAAAGCAGGCTGTGCTTCCATTTTCGTCTGGATATATGCCTCTGTTCTAGGCTGGACTGGACTTTCAACAACTTCAACTGCTAGGCCTCAGCTGTAAATCGATACCAAAGCTTGAGTTTGGCAAAGCTTTAATCTATTTCAAGCCCTGGAAAGCTTTTGGATGGGCAGAACTGGGACTTCTCCAGTCTGAAAAGGGCAGAAGTGGCTGGACTTAAGTTGGAGCTGTACTATGGTACCTGTGCTTCTTAGTCAGGGCTCTCTATAAATTTGTTGAGGTTTTCGTATTTGTGAAAACTCAAACTCTACTCGCCTTGGCTTTGCTGAACCAAATTTGTAACGAGAGAAATCTCGTTTTGTTATTTTGTGAACTGGGATTCAAATCAGACGCAATGTTCTAGCTGTCTTTGCTGGGAAAAAGCAGGATGATTCTGCAAGCTTGTCGTGAAGCTTTTTGGAATTGAAATGTTTCAGACTCTGGGTCTGTTTGAAGATTTTCCGAGATCAAGTGATCATTTTGAGTTTTTGTCTTTTGACTGAATTTTTGGTTATGTTGATTGATTGTCCTTACTCTGTTCACTCTCTCCTGTATTTATAAGAGATGCTTTTGGGAGTTCTGATTCTTTTAATTATTGGGCGGCAAACAATCTCAAAAGATCTTTAGTTTTTTTTTTTTAAAAGAAAAGAAAGGGAGTTCTATCCATTTTTCTGGCAAGTAAGCACTTATCAATCAGCTCTTGAAATGATCATTTCCCTGCATTTTGATGGGGTGCCATACTGTTCTTCCATTTCAACTGCTTTTGCAAGAGTCTGAAGCTTTGTGATGGTAAGTTCCCAGTTTCTAAACAACTCCCTGTTTCCCGCTTATCTCATTTTCACAGAAACAAAGTCTGCTTATCTTTTGAAAATGGTGCCTTCTCTGGTGCAGAAGGATATCTTTTGAATAAACAAAACGGAACTTGATCTCCTGGCAACAGAGACGTCTTTCTTCATACCTGCCCCTGTTCAATCTTTAACTTCAGCCGATATTGTTGACTTTTCTAAGTCAGGGGTCATGTGGGTCTGTTTTCTTTTTAATTAAAAGATCAGTTGAGTCCAGTTTGCTTCGAGCCCAACTTGAGTCCCTTCGAGGCCCAAGTCTCTTTCTAATTTTGACTGCTTCCAGGCCTCCAATGTTTGGGCCGAGTACATCGCTTTGGCCTGTTTTTTTTGTTAACGGGCCGGGCGCGTAGATGGGCTAAGGGCGTCAATTTTAGGTCCAGACAGGTGGCCTAAAAAATGTTGCGGGCCTTTGCTTTTTGGACTGGGCATGCCAAATTTTAGGCCCAAACAGTCATAACACCCAAATACCTACCAGACATCAAGTTCTCTATTCCTCATCTCTTCTCACAGAAACTCCTTGGTGTACTGTTTCTTTTTGACTTGCTCTTTTGTTGTGGCAGAACCTCCGTGATCGAGTAATTCTCATCTGAACGTCTGAATCGGTACGTTTCTGTCGAATTTCCTCCCTCTCTTTGATATTAAAGTTTGCATGTTATACTGCATTCACTTAATTGAAATTGCTTTAGGACTTTAGGGAGGATTTGAGGGCTTTGATTTTCTGGGTAAGAGTAGTCTGTCTCTGTACGGAGTGTTTGCAAAAATATAAATTGGCTTGAGTAATTTGTGTTGTGTGTTGTACTTCGTATTTTTGTTTGCATTCTGGTTGTTTGTTGTGTTTTCGTAAAATTCGAGGAATCTGTATCTGTTCCTCATTGTAATCCTGCTTTGGCCATGTAGTGGTGTGAGTGTTGGGCATAATTTTAGGGATTTAATGGGGCTTGGCAAACAAATAATAATAAGTACCAGTAGAAGTAGAACGCATAAGAGAAAATTGAATCTTAACACTGAATATGAGATGATTTGGGATGCATAAGGAGCAATGCATCTTGTAGCAGGTATCAATTCTGTATCTGAATTTGTTGAAATTAGTGTTTGTAGGTGAAATTATGTATCTTAATGTGTTGAAGATAGTGTATCAGTTTTGTAACTTGATATGTTGAAGATTCTGTTAGTAGGTATCAATTATGTAATGTGTTGAAAATAGTGTTTGTAGGTTT